CAGGCTTCGGCCGTGCCTGGGCCTCGATTCTCCTCCGTTTCTTCACCAGCCCCCCATTTCCCCTGACACCTCTCGAGCTGCACAGTTTACCCTTTCTAGCCATGCATTCAGAAGATTTACATGGCAGTTGTAAAGAGCATTCCCCATGTCAGGGTGCCTCAGCTCCTAATCTACCTGCCCCATTTGGCACACCACCACAAGGGGCTTTGCATGTATAACTTGGAATGGTGGCTGGGCAGGAGAACCAGCATCCTATCTCCACCCCCTTGTCATACCACCTCTTTTGTCTGGCCCCTTCCAAGTTCACTTGGGCCCTTGGTGCTAAGCCCCATAGCTTACCCCTTACCTGCAGGATTTAATTTGCACCACCTCTTTAGCACAGACTCCACCCTCTTCCCAATTTTCCCATGCCCGGTCCAAGGGGTGCAGCCCCTTACAATAACACAAAGGGAGAATCCTGTTGAAGTTTAGGGTACCTCCCATACGGTGAACATCAGAGCTGCTAGTAGGTTGTGCCCAGGGGTCATTTCGTAGGAAAAGAGGTGCAGGAGCTCATTAGCATAACTTATTTGCATATGCCACACCCCCTGACATCACCGGAAGTGTGTCAGAAGGCAACACCCACCGCTCAGGCTCCACTGGACTGTTTTGGATTGCTAGCTATTGGGGGGTGGGGGAACGTGCAGATCTGTCCTCGCAGAGGAGGGAGAGCTTGTACCTGAATAAAACTTGGTCTTAAAGGTGCCACTGGACTGTTTGGGGCCAGGGGGGTGGGTGGGGCCCTCTGCAACTCACCTGACTGCTTCTTGCTCTGATGGAGGGCTGCTGGGAGCAGGGGGCAGGGCTTGTTGCATGTGCCCACCCCCTGGGTTCTTTACTGCCGGAGCTCCGCTCCTGTGCGCTCCGGCAGGAAATGACCCCTGGTTGGGCCGCCACTTTGGCTCTGCATTTCGTGGCAGCCCTTTTGAGTCTGGCTCAGCCTTCTGCAGCAGCCATTTTGGTATGGTGCTCAACACCCCCTCTCAAAACTCCAAAGGTAGGGTTGTCAGACCCCCTGGTGGCAGTGGGGTTTCCCAGCCACCCGGGCCTGCCCCCAGTTGCCAATCAGCTGGCCAGCTGGGGGACTTACTAGTAGAAAGGAGGCCTAGGCCAAGTTGCCAGGTTGCACAGGAAGTGAGATCATCACGCCAGTGGCTTCCATGTAGCATTCTGGGATTTGGGCCAAACCTCTATGGTAGAAGCTGGTTTTACTATAGAGTTTTCTGCCCAAATACCAGAGCGTCACCCAGAATCATGATGACATCCCTTCTTGTGCGACAACAGCGATGTGGCCTGGACCTTTCTCTTTCTCCAGGTAAATCCCTCCCCCAAACCCTGACAGTTGCCAGGAGGGACCTGGCGACCCTATAAAATGTGCCCTCAGCCTCAAAAACCCTGATCAAAGTGGGTATCATATCACACTCACAGAAGGCATTCTCTTAGTTAGTTAGAGCTTGTTAAAAGTGCATACGGAGGCCTGTCAGGATGAACACAGAACTCCTGTGGAATTATTTATTTTCTCTGACACCAGATTTGCAGCAGAACGTGGTTCTGACGGCTGGGAAGTCAGAAAGGGGCTTGGCTGGAGCGAGGAATGTCAAGTCTGGCGGCAGCCTCTCTGCAAACATCCTGAAGCAGCGCAGGCTGGGAATTCTGCGTTCTTTGTGGCAACGTCAGGAACGACAGAGAAAGAGCGAACAAACTGGCGTTTCCAGTTAGATACCTGCTGCGAACTTACTTTGGAATCTGCTGTCAGGAAGCCAGTGTAAGACAACAAGACATATGTCGGATCACCCAGACAATACAGGTTCAAACCGTCGGATTCACTGGAGGACTGTGTATAACTTTCTCTCTGTCTCAGTGTTCCACCTGCAAAATGGGTACAACACGATCGTGTCCGAAACAGAGGGCCGACACGATCTTAAAGAAGCGAAGAAAATCCCCTGCCCTTTCCTGACTATGAATCTAAAGTGAAAAGGAACCAGTTGTTATTTTTCCCCTCCTACAAATGTTTGGCACTGAAACGTCCCCCTCCATCCTTCCTGCTATGTTGTCATTTCCAGCCATTGTGTTTGCAGTGAAAATTCCAAAGCAGCAGGTTGCACACTGGAAAAAAGGGTTGGGGGGGGGAGCTTAAAAACTAGAAAACCAGAAGCCGGTCTCTTGAAAGACCTCCCAGGCCCACCTCCTCAGGGGGCTCCTGTTCTCCCCGGCCTCCCTGCCTCACACCGATGAGCTCGGCCCGTTTCCTTCTTTTCTCAGCCGATGGAAAAGGAAAGGGAACAGGGCGGACGGGAAGCCTGCAGCGGTTCCTTCCTGCCATTTGGGCTCAAACGGGAAAGGGGAGCGTTTCGTCCACGGACGTTCTTATGTAGAAATTGCTGCAATTGTACAGATGGTTGGTTTTTGTGGCAGGACGCTCAGAAGGCTCCCCAGCCCCCCCTCCCAAAATCCCATGTGGTGGGGTGGAAACATAAATGGGTACCTGAGGGCTGCCAACTTTGGCCTGGGACATTCCTGGAGATTTGGAGGAGGAGGAGGAGGAGCCTACAGAGGAGAGGACTGGGGGAGGGATTTCACCTAAACTGAATGGTCTCCCTCGAGTGTAGGGTTGCTAGCCCTGGTGTAATATATCCAGTCAGACCGCGTGGCCGGCTAGGGCTCCACGCGGTCAAGGACAAACGTTGAGCTTCGCTCTTAGAGACAAAAGACTATGTGGATCCTAGCCCACACCAATCAGGGGGCTAGGTCCCGGCCGGGAGCCTGTGGAACTCTCGGCCCCTGTAAATAACCTATTGGGCAGTGGGGGGGTGGTGTTATGGGTGGCGGTTTCACGGGGAATATTAGCCGGCCTGCGAGCCGGCAAAAGCTGTCTTGTCCCCGATCGAATAAAGTACGCTCTGCTGAAATCACTCTCCGTCTGCGTACTTTTCACCTGGGCTGGGAAATACCTGGAGATTTTGTGGGCGAGGCTGGGAAGGTTGGGATGTGGGACCTTAGTGGGATATAATGGCACAGAGTCCACCTTCCAGAGCGCCCATTTCCTCCGGCCATTTCCTCTGTGACTTGGAGACCAGTTGGAATTCCGGGAGATCTCCGGCCACCCCCTGGCGCCTGGAAACCCTGTATGGCATAGAGCCTGACCGCTCAAGCTGCCAATTTGTGTCCAGGGGAATTGATCTCTCTAGTCCAGGGGTGGCCAAACTGTGGCTCGAGAGCCACAGGCGGCTCTTTTATACATCTTGTGCAGCTCCTGGCAGCGGGCAGCTGGGGAAGCGAAGGGGAGGCATACTTTTTCTCCCTCCCTCCTTCTCTTCCTTCACCCTCCCTCCCTCCTGGGGTTATCAGGCTCCAGGTGGGGCCTGGGGTTCGCCCGCTTTTACAACTCATCTGCACCTGACAGAGATCAATTCCCCTGGAGAAAATGGGTGCTTTGAAGGGGGGACTCTATGGTATTGTGCCATGCTGAGGCCCCTCCCCTCCCCAAACACCGCCCTCTCCTGGATCCACCCCCAAAGTCTCCAGGTATTTTCCAACCCGGATCTGGCAACCCTACTCCCTCCCATCTCTTTGCTTTCTTTGTTTCTCTCTCTCTCTCTCTCTTTCCACCTCTTCCATTCTTTCTTTCCACCTCTCTCTCTTAGACAAATAAATATCATTAGCAAACAAATATCACTGGACAAATAAATTTTCAGTGCCAAACAAATATCATTGGACAAATTGATAATGATCAATATCTGTTTTTACCCCCCCTTTTTTTTACTTTTTGGCAGTCTCATTTAATGTTAATAAAAAGCAAATTTGCATATTTTTCAATGAGTCCGATCAGACGGCTCTTTAGATCCACGCGAGGCACGATTGCCTCACGGACCTAAAGGTAGTGTCCAGACACAAACATCTGGGACATGCCCCTCTTCCGTGGGCATCCTGTTTTGCCGTGCTTCGGAGCCATACTTAAAAGATAGCACTTTAAATCTGGGGTTTTCGGGACAACTGCGGACTTTCACCCGTCTGATCGTTCCACAGACCCGAGTGTGCCTCATGACGGAGTGAGCTCCCGTCTCTGGTCCCAGCTCCTGCCAACCTAGCAGTTCGAAAGCAAGACATTGCAAGTAGATAAATAGGTACCACTTCAGTGGGAAGGTAACAGCATTCCGTGTGCCTCGGTGTTTAGTCATGTCGGCCACATGGTCACGGAAACGTCTTCGGACAGTGCTGGCTCTTCGGCTTGGAAACGGAGATGAGCACCGCAACCCTAGAGTCTAACTCGACTGGGTTTCGAGCAAGGGAACCTTTACGTTACCTTAAGCACACAACTGTCTGGAGATCAGTTGTAATCGATGCTCCCTCTAAGCCGTGGGGTCTTGTGAACCCAAAAATTCTACTTTGTGAGCTCCTGGCATTACAGCTGTGAGCCAGCGATTTGGCTGCTGCATCAGTCAGTTTGCTCTGGAGCCCTCCTCCCTGAGCGAAGACAAAAAATGTGTGAGCCGGAGGCTTAAAAAGTGTGAGCTGGCTCACACTCACTCGCCTTCGAGGGAACACTGGTTGTCATTATGGGAGAACTCCAGTCCTGACCTGGAGGCTGGCAACCCTCAAGTGTTATAAACGTGTGACTGTTGGGGATGGAGCGACCACCGCCCGCTCTCTGACAGGCTCCATAGGATTATGGAGTGGAGGCTGAGATCCACAATATTATTTCCCAAGAGGTCAGGAGAGATAAAGCCGCATTCCGTCCCATTTCCTCCCACTTGTGAACCCAACTGTGCCTGGAAAACAACAACAGAGGGGTGTGTGTGTGTGTGGGGGGAAGAGGCCTCTGATGCAACCTCCTCGGCATTTTCTCTTCTCCGCAGGGCGTGTGGACAGCCAAGGTGGTTCCAGCCCCTCCAGTCCCTCTGGGCTTATCAGCCACGGGAGATGCATTCCAAAGGGCTGCTCCCTTTTTAAGTCACAGCTGGCGGCCGGCCCGCTCGCAAGTCTGCAGCCTCCGCTAGAGCCAGGCTGGAAGGGGAGACGGTTCTCCTCGCTCCTGGCCTGCTTGGGAGGCTGAAGATGACGGACCAGGATGAGCTCTCAGGGAAGGGAACCCCAGAATGACAGACTTGGGTGGCGGCAGGACCTTCAGGCACCCCCCGCGTCCCTCAATGCCACTGACGGATGCTGACCCATGGGCCTGCCCTTCCTTCGGCCAGATGTTTAACCCATCTAGGATGTTCAGCTGGCACCGATCCTTCACCATCAGTGCTCCATGGAGAAAAGGTAAGGGGCTGGCGTGTCTGGGCGCGCTTTACGGACGGCTTGCTGCTTTGGCTAGCGTTTTGGGGGGTTTTGGGACGTCCCAGGTGGCATTTCAGACAATGCAGAAGGTAATCTTTGGGTCTTTCGAGGGGGTTAATTTGCGAGCGCCTCTTTTTCCATTGCTTTCCCCGGAAGGCGTTTGCAGGACTTTAGCAAAATCCGCCGTTCCTCTGCTGAGATCCTGAGCCATTGCAATACGTAGCCATTCTTTTGCATGGTCTTCTGGACAAGGTAGAAGCCCTGTTTACATGTCATGGTGAACCAGCATGCATTTGCGTACACCTGTTTGAAAACGGGGACCGGTACCTGGGTTAGCATGTCATTTCAGCCACACATTCAGCTGTACGTGTGTTGAACATAACATTACAGTCACTCGACGCATGTGTAAAGAAAACTGAATGTGCACTGTACTGACAGGTGAGGCACCTATTTGAACTGAACTGAACTGGAAGAATGGGAGGCACGCATCACTTTTATGCTATTAAAGATTTCCTTTTAGAGTGTGTAAATTACCTGTTCTTTCTTGGTACGGTCTGTCTTCTGGAGGGTCACGTTGGAAAGAGGCTCAGAGCTCTGACTCGGGCAGAGAGGGAACAGGCAGTTTCTGCAAGGGTGAATTGCTGTGATGTGCGATGTGTTAATGACCATCTTCACTGGAGGCAGATTACCAATATGTGAATCATACAGAGACGCCGAAGGCCACCTTCGCAGGGGATGGGCACTTTGAACTTTAATTATTTCGTTTATTTCTGACGGTGCAGCCGTCCTGTGATAGTCTGAGAATACAGTTTGGATTGCCCTGTTGTGAAAAGTCGTCTTCTAAATGCAAAAAGTCCCACAGAAAAGCAGGGGAGGACAAACATTCTTTTGAATACTGTCTGTGGGTCTTGTTTTGCACAGAAGCCCACTTGGACGTTGATGAGGCCTGTTACCGGACTGTCACTGCAATCCTAAACAGAGTTATGCCTCTCTAAATCCAGTGTAACTCATGCGCTACGAAGGGTGTAACTCTGCTTAGCAACACACTGCAAAGTCAGGTGGATTTGCACAGAACTCAACTCAGCTCAAAAGCTTGCGATCTGACGCTGTCCCCGTGGTTGGCCCGATAAAATGTGTGGGCTGAACAACCCTAGATCCTGCCGTGCTGATGTTGGAGTTAATGCGATTGAATCGCTTTTGCAATTCGTTTCTGACTTCAAGGATTCAAACCCAGATCCTAGTCAGACAGTATTCATTTTTGTTCGTATTGTTTTTCCAGTTTGTGTAAACCTGGTCCCACTTCATTATTGGAGACAGATAAAGTTGGCTGGCCACGGTAGTCTGTCTGTAGCAGTAGAAAAGTTTCCAGGAGCACCTGAAAGACTAACAGAATTTGTGGCGGGTGTGTTCCTGTAGCACTGCTCACTTCTCCAGACACCTTAACAAGGCTGATGGATTTCCATTCTAGTTGGCTGGCCACGGTAGTCTGTCTGTAGCAGTAGAAAAGTTTCCAGGAGCACCTGAAAGACTAACAGAATTTGTGGCGGGTTGTGTGTGTGTTCCTGTAGCACTGTTCACTTCTCCAGACACCTTAACAAGGCTGATGGATTTCCATTCTGTATAACCAAATGTGGTACCTTCCATGGATATAGATCAAGATGGGTAGTCATGTTAGTCTGTCTGTAGTGGTAGAAAAGGAGGTGCGGTGGCTCAAGTGGTGAAGACGCTGAACTGCAGGCTGTGGAAGGTCGGCAGTTCGGCAGTTCGAGACCCGAGTGTGCCGCATGACGGAGTGAGCTCCCGTCTCTAGTTCCAGCTCCTGCCAACCTAGCAGTTCAAAAGCAAGAAATTGCAAGTAGATAAATAGGTACCACTTCGGTGGGAAGGGAACAGCGTTCCGTGCGCCTTGGTGTTTAGTCATGCCGGCCACATGACCACGGAAACGTCTTCGGACAGCACTGGCTCTTCGGCTTTGAAACGGAGATGAGCACCGCAACCCTAGAGTCGGATTCGACTGGCTTCCGAGCAAGGGAACCTTTACCTTTACCTTTAGTGGTAGAAAAGAGCCAGGAGTCCAGTCGCACCTGAAAGACTAACACAATCTGTGGCAGGGGAGGAATATTTGGGAGTCACAGCTCTTTACTGGGCGCCTTTGCTGTCTGACTGAATGGCTTTTCATATTTTGTAACAAACTGGTCTATAAATGAAGCTATTTATACATAGAAAAGAGAAATAGTCTATTTA